CATGAAACAGATCAGCAGCTACATGAAACAGATCAGCAGCAACATGATGTGGTTTTTCACAGTGATTATTCTGGTTAGAGATTCATGAGTCTAACAGCCTCAGGGTAGAAGCTGTTCCTCAGTCTAGTGGTTCTAAACTTAATGCTCTTTAACCTTATTATTTTATTAACAAACTAATAAATTCAAACACATGCACACACTGACATGGGCAAAAACATTCTCTCCTGCCTTTCAGCAGCTGGTCACCATAACTTTCAACTTTAGTGAACAAAGAAAAAGTTCAACTCTTACATATATTGCGGTAAAATGCAGTTGAAAGGCAAAACCTGTAATGAAAAATGCTGTACTTGAGCATCATTGTGCATGTTTTTACTCAAAACTTTGGCTTTAACAGTTGGAGTCAACCCTGCCTGTCTGTTAGCAAAATACCTTATTAACCACTAGACATTTTATTTAAAGTCTCAAAAATCGATTTTTGGATGTCCATCAATAAGTGGGAGTCAATTCAATTTAAGATGGCTGCCACAGCCATCAACATTAGAACAGAGAAATGAGTTATAAACATTGAGCTAATGTTTGATGTGGTAGTAGCTGAAAGTCATGCATTACACATATTTAAGCACTTATACTTCTTGTGAGATCTTGTGACATCACATGAAATCTCACATTTTTTTCTAGGTTTGACCAAAACGACTACAACTCCGTCATTTGTCAAATTAAGATTTAGTATAAAACGTATGAACATTCATTTAGACACAATGTTTAAGAAAAATGTATTGTTACAAACCATTCCAACATTTTCAGGCTTCTGTTCACACCACACATTAATTTAACCTCTAAGCATTTCAGTCATCAGGTAATTCAAGGTGCCTATAAAAGTATGATCAATAAAAACTAAAAACATTTGTGCTTAATGCACAGTATCAACACAACAAGCTGCAACTGAAACATCTACCCAGTTACATTTTCCATTGTTTAATAGTTGTCAGTTTCTGCAGAATTCATTGAGTTAGAACTATTTTTGTTGGCTCGTTTGCTATGGAGGCCATCTGGAAATGGCTTGATTCCTTATTTTATTGACTCGTAGGTGCATGTCCAATGGTTACTTTCTGGAAGTTGTATTAAAATCATCTGGTTGTTCATGAGGTACTTAGCTAACAAAACAGACAAATAAATGTGTCACACAGAAAGAACAAAAACTGTTTTGCCCTTTTGCCCCAGTGATAATTTTCAGTCGAGTCCAGTTCAGTTCAGTGTTTGACACTACACTAGAGACAGTGGAGATTTTTTTACTCTTTTTGGGGGTGCTCAAGCACTCCTAAATTTTAACTCAGCACCCCTGAAAAATAAAGAAACCATCAAGATTTTGTGAAGAAGCTCAGCCCTCAAACCTTAGATTTGCTGATATATTGAATAAATTTGAAATAGATACAGAATAAATGATGACATTCTTAAATGAACGAGTAAAATCTACGCTTTTTTCCCACGAGTCAATAAATAAATAAATAAATGTTCTTTATAAATAAACTTGACTTGACGAGTCAGATCCTCGATGCCACCTGTCAATCAATCCAGTAGGCTCGTCAGCAACTGACCAATCAGTGATCACAGTTTATCCCAAAGGTAAATGCCCCTTACCTGCATTGTCAGGGTCTTGCATTACAAACACTTTGCGGTCAGAGGGATTTTGTGAAAAATCACCAGAAAAAAATGGTTAAATGTTGTCTGTGGAAAACATGTAATTCAGACAGCGTTACCCTGAGTGTTTAGAGGATGTAATACAGTACAGGTGCTGGTCATAAAATTAGAATATCATGAAATATTTTATTTATTTCAGTAATTCCATTCAAAAAGTGAAACTTGTATATTATATTCATTCATTACACACAGAATGATACATTTCAAATGTTTATTTATTTTAATGTTGATGATTATGATTGACAACTAATGAAAGCCCCAAATTCAGTATCTCAGAAAATTAGATTACTTAAGACCAATAAAAAAATGATTTTTAGAAATGCTGGCCAACTGAAAAGTATGAACATTGTAGTGATGTAGGGTTAGGTTAGCTTCAGTTAGCTTAGGAGCTCCACTACAATCAATATTTAATAACGGGTTCTCTCTTTTTCGAGCTACTTGACAGATATGTGACAGAGGTACTGTGTTGGAGATGGTCTAATCAGTGACATGAGACGTTAATTTTCTTTGACCCATCAAAATGAATGTGGTCATTTATTAACAGAATCAAAATTTAACATCAAAACATTGTACACTTGATTATTCTGATCGGCTCTGATTAATAAAACTTGGCATGTTTTACTTAATAAAAACAACAGATATTTCTGAAGATATCTGGATTAATTACTGGCAAGATAGAAGAGTTTTAAAGATGGGGAATGAAGGAGTTTGAATGGAGGGAAAAGATGGATGAGGGAAAGTGTGTTGGCGAGGAACAGCACCCTCCATCCGATCCCAGCTCAGCCTCGGTACACTCGGTAGTGAAGCGACTCGTTACCTTTGCAGAAGATAGGTCAGCTCCGGTACGGAGTTCCATTTCAACGCTACCTTTCAGCGTCTCCTTAGGATGGCTGAGAATCGTCCGAAGTAGTGACGGTACTCCGTTCAACAACACGCTCACCTCCCGGGTGGACTCACATGAGCTGTGAGTCCGTCAACGGTTCCATAATCCCAACTAGACTCGGAAGAACTCCCAACTAACTCCAGCACTTCAGAACTTTTGGAACCTCTGTTCTGAACTTTTGGAACTTCTGTTCTCCTGGAACTAGGAAGTGTCGACTTTTAAAGAGTTCTGCTTCCGGTCCCTTTTGGGAAGTCCTGATTGGTTGAAAGAACCAACAGGGGTGTGGTTTTAGTGACGTCAGAGGGTCACTACAAGTCAGAAAAACAGCGGAGATGTTTAGGAACAGACAGAGAAATGTTTTGGAGAAATGGCAGACTTACAGGTGCCAGTTTTCTTGTTTCTGTCTGAGAGGTTTAAAAACATGACAGTTCGTTCCAATAAACTTGTTTGCGACTGTCTCCGACTTTTGATCGACATCACTCCTTTCTCATTTCAGACAGAAGATCAAAATGCATAATTACTTTGTAACATAGACATTTAACTTGATTTCTACTTTGAATGAGGATTAAAAATCATTAATACTGTTTCACAGTTGATTTAAAATGAGTGGTTCACTTCAACATTTAAAAATGATTTGAACTAAACACACTTTTGATTATCAAGACATTGTAAAATAGTAATGATAATATAAAAAAGCGAGTGTTCTTTCAATTGATTAGTTCAGGATACAATTAGAAAGTCTCTGGATGAGCTAATTTGTATTTCTGGATTCAAATCAATGAAATAACAGTTCCTGTCCCATGAAGGTCTTCAGAGGCAGGTCTTGACCGGAGGCTTAGTTCACTACAGTCCCCCCTTTGGAAATCATCGCCTGTCCATGGGGATGAATTCCAACATGAACTTACGCCTCCGAATGTCCTTGAGCTTGATGTAATCCAGCAAAAGGAAAACAAAAGTCAAAGAAGGTAATCCCACAATGTTGTTGGTAATTCCATAATGTTGTTGGTAATTCCATTGTAGCAAAGCTTTAACCCACTTTGGAAACAGTGAAGGTAATCCAATGGAACCAAAGTCATATAATCCACAACGGTAATTCCACAACGATTGGAGTTGTTGATTAATCAGCATGTAGAAGATTCCCTTCGATTGAACTGAAGATGCGGCCACTGGATGCAGGTTGGAGACCAACGTCAGGATTGCAGGTCCCCTCCAGCGAAGGTCGTCGCTGGGTGACGTCCAGCCGGTGCCGTTCTGGTTCTATGTGTCATGCAATTAAGTGGTTTAAGGTGGGCTTATGAAGGG